GTGATCGAAATTACAATGAGGCAACTGCATATTGTCTGAATGGTGTCAAACCTCAGTGTCACAAAGATGAAAGCCATACATGTTAAACAGAACACACAGGTACTTACTGCAGTGTTTGACTCTGCATCAGGGTTTTCATGCGACTTGATAGGAAGTTTAACTTTCCCAGCCCCGAGTGCCTGGGTATACTGAGAGAGATCAGATTGAACGTTCACCAAAGCAAACATTTCTTCCATTGACTGTAACTTATCTAGCCTCTTGTTGAGCTAAAAGGATATATATATGTTGTTAAAAATATGAAATTGTTGTTATACTGTATACAGTAGCGAGTGTCAAAAGGTAAAATAATGGAAGCTGTTTTACATGGAAAATAAAATTTTCTCCACCTTTTCTTGACGTGTTTGGGTAAATTGTTGCATGAGAGTTGAATACGAACTACCAACATCATTCAATGTCTCTTGTGCTTCCTGGAGAGAATATACAAAAAAATTAATGGAAACCACCAAGTCGGCTTAACCCATTGAGTAACAACAGCACTCTCCCCTTGATGAGTAAAATCAACTGGCATTAGATATACAGTAAAATAATATAGCCAAGGCGCATTGGGGCACAATGGAACTTAACCTATTGAGTGGTAATACTCTCCACTTGACGAGCAAAATCGTCTGGCGTTAGACAGAGTAAAATACTAAAGTAAGGTGCATTGCCACTTAAAGGGTTAATATACAGTATTACAGAACTAATTTTGGTCCAACATACGTTTAACAGTTCAGGAATGATTGTTTCGTATAAAACTTCATTTGTTCTGTTGAAACCAGCGAGTTGCCAGACGTATTCATTGTGACAGTTGTAGCAGATGGTTGATACGTGTTGTTCCTGTAACAAATGATTCATTGACGTCAGTCTTTAATGATTTTGAGCATTTCATGATCTCAGTCATTCAATTTGATAATGACAAACCTTTTGCGGGTCTTTTGAATAGACTTTGTATTTGCCCCAGGAATCAGTATAATCTTTAAAACACTAAATTGGAAAGAATTAAGTTAATATGCAGATCAAGATAGCTGAAGTGTTTTTGAAGATTATAATATATTTTATACAATTTTAGATCTATTAACAAAGAGCAGTTGCAAAAAATGCAACTATTGGCCCTTAGAGCTGGCTGCGATTCTGGTGCAGCGCTCTAACCAACTGAGCTACAGAATCCAGTTGTCAAGCTCTAACCACAAGTTCTTGCATATATATATATATATATATAGTGGGTGATTGCATTATAAGGTATGGGTAAAATATTGAGATTTTTGGGCAAGTCTTGCTCAATAGATGGATAAGGCGACTGACGTAAACAGGGGTGGATCCAGCAAGGTTTTTCTAGGGGGGGAGGGTGTGTTGGGTGAGCAGCCGAGTGTTTCTTTATAATTCTTTAGTGGGCGGTGGGAGCTAGAGCATTTAATCCAATGAATTGGCTTCCTAATGACTTGAGAGCTGAAGGGGTAAGCTCTCTAGGGGTCCATGGGGTATGGCCCCCTGAAAATTTTGAAAATTAGAACCCTAGAAATGCCATTTCCTGCGATATGGGCATTGAATTATGAGCTTTACTTATGACTTCAAAAAAGGAAAAACCTTGGAAATTGTGCCATATATTTCTGAATTTGATTTATTTGTACCCCTGTTGACCAAAACCAACAGGGGTGCACACCCTTGTGCACCTCCCCCCCACTATAAACCCACCCCTCAAATATACATATGGTGCACAATGAACAACTACAGTTAGTGATACCTTTGTGAGAATTTCTTCTGTTTTATCTGCTTGAACTTCAAGACTTTCACGATTGACAAACACCTGATTAAGTTAACATAACGACATTGACAATTATCAATGAATAAACAATATATTCTGACGCAATTACAGAGCTTCTAATTAGAAAACAAACCTTCTTGAGAAGCGTCTTTTTCTTTGTCGCACAATCAAACAATGGAACACTGATACTGTTGACAAGTTTCTGAGAAAGTTCCAGTAATTCCTAAAAATTATTTCATTATGTCAGATCTCTACATCACAAATACAAGAAGCAAATATTACCCCACTTTTAGAGTATATCTACAAATAGTACCCTAGCTTCATCTTCTGTATCAGTCAATAATGCCTCCCATGTGTTTGATATACTGCCCAATGCACCTTGGCTAAAAAGAAAAGAAAAACATGTGTTACATGTCGGTTAATTAAGAATCAGCCAACTAGTTAAACCCAGTCTGGCCCTAGTAATTCAAATTACACGGGCAAAAAGTTTCAACAATTTTATTTCAATTTTTACGTATTATATTATACACAAGTATTTCTTGAATGATAGATCACTCTAAAACTGTGAATTTTTGTTATTCTTAAAGGTCAAACAATGGAAACAAGTTAGCAACAAGGGCGGATTTTCATTTTTTTTAAGGAGGGGTGGAAAGCGGTGGGTGGAAAGCGGTGGGTGGAAAGCGGTGGGTGCAAGCGACACCACTCATGAGTGAACTTTGGCAGGGGTTAGGCATTAGGGTTGAAGACTTCACACAAAATAGGAGGGGTGAAGCAAAATTTTGGTGGGGTTGAACACTTTATAAGAGGAGTTAGAGAGATTCTAGCGGGGGGGGTTAC